GAGATGGCGACAAAGAGGAAAAACTGAGGACTGCAGCTTTAAAGTCGGCATGAAATTAAATTTGAAAAATCTTTTTATATGTAATATTGTAGTGTTTATTATAAATGATTTATCTGTGCACTTCATTATTTTTTTGTAATTCATGTACCCTTATAATCTTTAATCAAATACATTACCCTTCCCTCCCCCCTCGAAACGACCTCTCTTCTCTTTCGGTCACGTGCCATGGCGAAAGGGTGCGGCCAGAGCCGATGAGGGTGCGACTATCGGTGCACTGCCTCTCAGAGAACCTGCTCGTATAAATATGGGCTGATTCCTGCCTGAAAATTTAGCTGCTCGTCCTCGTCGCCTCGAGAGAAATCCTCCACAACTGAATGTGAACTGGCAATCAAATCTGCCTCCATTTTGTTTGCAACGCCCAACCTCCAACGATCCAATCAATTCCCGAAGGACGAAATCAAGCCCCGCCCTAAATTTTTTTCTAATTTCAGAAGTAGTTTCACTCGGATATACGTCACAACAAGGAAAAAATGACAATCTCAACTTCCGTTTCATGACGACTTTAAGCATGCTGTAAAAAATAGGGATGGCCCGATACCGATACTGGCATCGGGGATCGGGCCGATACTGTCCTAATATACTCGTACTCGTACTGATAAAAATTCGCCGATACCACGCACCGATACCACGTACATTTTGCAAAACGAAACTGGCCGCCGCGAGTGCTTTGTCGAGGTGAACTGAGGCATAGGAAAGTATAATGTCGGCGGTTTGGGCTCATTTCAAGATAAGGGATGATGACAACAGCAAGGCAGACTGTGAGTTATGTTCAGCTAAGGTGTCGAGAGGAGGGAAAGAAAGTACATCGTTTAACACCAGCAATCTAATTAAACATCTGAAGACGCATCATAGATCTGATGGCCGAGCGCGCGCGCGGGCGGTAATGCACTCACTCTGTGTGTGCGGGTTACGGGAGAATAAAACGATTCGCGGGACTCCCACAAACTAGAAATATCTATGAATAAAACATAAAAACTAAAAGATTTTTATTCATCTCTTGCAGAAAAGCAACAAGAACAACTACAACAAAATAGAAACGATTTACAGGACAGAGTTTCTATTCATAACATGGTTACAGCGTTGAGCGCTGTAGCCACTCACAGACATATGTGTTGATTTCTGGAACGCAATGGCCAATCAGAAGCATTTAAGATAGACTCCCCTCACCGCTCAAATCGGACTTTTTTGTTCAGTGCTGAATTCTGTATGCTGGCGAATCCTCTAATTATAACAAACAAAGTGTGGATATTATAAAAGATTGATTGTGCAGTCAGCTTCATTCATAATAACAGAGATGTGTGAGATCGCGATGAACTGTCAGCTTTTAGGATTTATTAAGGGAGCGCACTTTGCGCGCATTCAGTCATGCCAGACCATGCACGCAGTAGCCTGCTTGCTTTTATGTTAAATTAACAGTGGTTTGTGTGTTAATACATTTATTATTTTAGGAATTTTTATTTATTTTTAGACTTGTTAAAACAAGCAGAGAAGAAAATAAAAACAGTCTTCTAACCTGTGTTCTAAAATAGTCGTCTTCTTTTCTGGGAGCCTATTACTTTTGCGGTAGAAATATCGGTATCGGTACTCGGTATCGACAAGTACACAAATGTAAATACTCGTACTCGTATCGGTTTGAAAAAAAATGGTATCGGGCCATCCCTAGTAAAAAATGATCTGTTAGGCATTTTGAGCTAAAACTTCACATACACACTCTGGGGACATTTTACATCTTGTGAAAGGGGCGTAAAAGGTGCCCTTTAAATATTTGTAATTAGTATTTGAGGGCTGCACTTTAATCCTGATAAATAAATATTACACTGAATGACATATAGGCTGAATCCCAATTCTCTGTCTTACCCCTTCCCCTTAGTTTTGCACGTTCACGTGAGAGTAAGGGCTATCCCAATTCTCATTTTGATCTAGGGGTAGGGCTAAGGGGAAGGGGTAGATACCCCTTAAAACCAAGAATTTTCACGAGCTTACTTGAAACCAAGGGGTACCCAGAATGCACTGCGCAACCGGCAACAATGGCGGGCATACCATCCAGAGAGTCTCATAAATTTATGTATTTTCGGCTTAAATGATTGATTAAAAAATTATGACAGTCTTGTTTTGTGCTCTACACAGTCATGTACATATATTTGCAACTATGTTGTTAATTGAAACATTTTTAAAAATCGCTAGTCTGCTATGCTAGGCTAACATTACATTGCTGATTTGCACAATCAGTCCCGCATTTCTCTGACTAGGGCGATTTCGAGATCGCCCAAAATGTCCGGGATTCGGCGTTTGCTTTCTACAGATGCCATTCATTAGGTGTACATTATTTGACACTGACACATACGTGCCAGCTTTGCAGGTGATGCATTCAGCTTCAAACGGATCCCGACCGAGACAAAAACACAGGAATATTAGCAATGCTAAAACGCACATCAACCGATCACTTGTTTTTGATTGAAAACACCTTGTGCATGTAAACAATGAATAGCGACTGCGGAAAGCAAAAGCAGAACCCAGGACATTTTGGGCGATCCCGAAAAAGAGTATGTTGTTTGGTCACCCCGGAGACATCGATACGTGCTTTGTTGCATACTGTCCTGTATCACACAGCAGACTGATCTCATGAAATGGCGTATGTATGACACACTAGGGGTGGAACGGTACACAGAAGTCACGGTTCGGTTCATACCTCGGTTCAGACATCACGGTTCGGTACGATTTCGGTACAATGGAGGGAAAAGCAAAACAAAAATGCAGAAGGCATTGTATTTTTTAAATAAGTTTTATTAATAAAGGCATAGAACCAGTTTATTTGTAGTGCACTGACAATGGTTTTATATAATTAGTTTATTAATTAAATTAATAAAAAGACCTTGCGATATGTTTGGTAATTGTACCTGAATTAATTTAAAATTAATTTGCTATATTTCAGATCAATATATTTGTTTTCCTTAATTTTAATTAACATTATTAATTAACAATGTAACATTATTCTCATCTGAATTATAATTGATTTCTGTATAAAATAATACTACCATTAAAAACGCATTCGATTTTCTTTTTTAATCAATGTAGAATGTTTAAGATTAGTGCTCTGAGGACAAGAGATGAAAACCAATGCGATATGATGAATGTCTAAAAGATGGGACCCACAGACTGTTTTGAAATGGAGTTGGATAAATATGTTTTGCTTTTAAAACAGTGTGTGTGTGTGTGAGAGTGAGTGAGTGAGTGAGTGAGAGAGTGAGAGAGTGAGAGAGTGAGAGAGTGAGAGAGTGAGAGAGTGAGAGAGTGAGAGAGTGAGAGAGTGAGAGAGTGAGAGAGTGAGAGAGTGAGAGAGTGAGAGAGAGAGAGAGAGAGAGAGAGAGAGAGAGAGAGAGAGAGAGAGAGAGATTTTGGTGACAGTTGTAGGTTACAGTTTGACAAGAGTTTACAGTGTGACAAAAGGACAATGTTGTGTTTTATTGCGAGTGTACACAAATATAAGTAAACACTTTGCAGGTTTAATGATCTGTATGAACAAAATGACGGAGTATGTTTTTTATGTTTCCACTGTTCGATCGCGGCCGCGCCTCTCTCTCACACACACACACACACACATAAACACACACACTCCAGCATTGCAATCTTGACATCACAGCCTGTTCATTATATGGTCATACCAAACGCGAATAGAGCGTTAAATTCGCGTCTATCGCGTCTTGTTCGACGCTAGTCCAAAGCGAATTGGACGCGCGTATAAAGCCAACGTTTGAAGTGAACGCGCGTTCAGAGCTAAGCCGATGGTACAGATTATGTGTCCCTAAAGAACCTGCGTATCTAACAGTAGTTCCGCATTACATTAATTAATTTCCACGCGAGTTTTATTTATTTTTATACCGTGTATTCTCCGTGTAAATTCGTGCACCGAACCGTGACGCCCGTACCGTTTCGGTACGAATACATGTACCGTTCCACCCCTATGACACACCAATTCGTATTTCCATTTTTGGCGTGCTATCAACATTAGACCCCGAAGCCGCCGCCAGGCGCCGCCATTTGCGCCATTTAGAATTTCAGCCGCCGCCAGCCAATAATTTCATAAGCCAAATTGAGCCGCCATCTGATAAAGTTTGGCTGAGCCGGCTAGAATTATTTGCATCAAATAATAATTCTATCACATAGAGACATACACACACGAAATATATAAACAATACACAAGATCTATTTTCCCACTGGATTCATAACAGCACAGTGTGCTCGTCGCTACGATACACAGACTTATATAGCACTGAACGTGATATTACTGCAGTAACAAACCACCGTTTCCACATTGCTAATTCACGACGCATGCTTCAGTGTATTGAAGTGAAATGTGCAAAACTTTGTCCAAAATAATACTGATAACAGTGTGTACTGTTTATATTAAGGCGAGACACTGCAGGCAAAAACATCGGGGGGTTTTTACTGGTCAATTTTGAGATTTTTGGATATTTGTCTTCAATAACATGTCTTCTTTCAGACTTGTGGTGAAAAAAAGTCCGAAAACACATTTAGGTCTTTATTTTACTACACTTCGTCTGTTTGCGTCTGTAGATTTCTCATAAATTCAACAAAAGTTTGCGTTCTTAACATACTTCTCCGTGATCTCTGCCGTCACCCTCTCATCACATGCACCGTTAGGAAGCTCTCTCTCTTCTGTACAATCCTGTTGGATCCAAATATGGTCATTTCCTTTTTATCAGCAACCAATCGTGAAAGTAAAAAGACTGAATGCGCGATCTCATTGGCTGATGATAAATCTTTAAAGCCCGTTTTCTCAAAATGACCTGCTTCAGCCATTTGCAGCTATGAAAAGTTTGGCGGCTGCAGCAGCCATTTAGGTTTTGGCTGAGCCGGCTAGCCAGCCAATAACTTCATCAGCCAGCCATTATTCCCAAAACAAATGGCTTCGGGCTCTAATCAACATGCATAATCGCTTTTCAGCGTGTTTATCAACGCCGTTGACTTAACGTACATTACTATATATATTAGGGGTGTAACGGTACACAAAAATCACGGTTTGGTACGTACCTCGGTTTTAAAGTCACGGTTCAGTACGTTTTCGATACAGCAAAAAGAAAGAAATGCCAGAGAAATTTCCTATTTGTTAAAAGAAAAAATATTTTTAAATAACTGAGTTTTCCTACATCTTGAAACTTTCAGGTTTATAAATGGGGGTCATCTTTGAAGGATGAACAAATAATGTTTTGGTCATCACATTAAAAATAACATTTAAATATATATTATTTGAGTTTTGAAGTACTGGAAAAAGATGTGTGAAGTACTTGAAAGCATTTCACTATTCTAGCCAAACTGGTTACAGTTAGTGTTACTACATTAAATCCATGGTGAATGTTGCTGGTCTGTGGACGTAAAGTATTATTAGTTCATTCACGGCACAATGTTTCTCCTGGTTTCCACGTCAGCGCTGTTTGATCTAATAGAGATCTACGGTTAATAACGGAGAAATGTAAATGCTTCTCACTAGATCTCGCAGCGATGTTATTACTTCAGTGGCGAATTAAAATGTTTTCTTTACTGGATCTCTTAGCGCTGTGTTGTAACAGTGTCGCTTGATTGAGATCGGCTCGCGCTGCACAGATGTTGCTGGTCCGAACTGATAAACGATCCGTGAAGCACATAATGAGTAGCGCAGTTTCGTTCCGCCGCTTTCATTACGCTTGCCATTTGATGTTTGCGCAACGTTGTGGTGGTCGCACCAGCGTGAATTTTGTCGGCAGGAAAAATGGTCCAAGGAATCGTTCGGTTTGTATGCGTACCGAACCGGAAGCCTCGAACCGAAACGGTTCAATATGAATACATGTACCGTTACACCCCTAGTATATATAAATATATGACCTACCCCAACCCCATCCCTAAACCTACCAGTCACTGGGGTTAATACCATTTATGAGTCTTCCCTTACCATCCTAGGGAGGGAGGAAAAAAAAAAAAAAAAAAAAAAAAAAAAAAAAATTCGCTCCCCAGATGTAGATCAGACATTTAACGCCGTGTACATACACGCGGAATCACTCGGACATTTAACGGCGTAGACATGCACGCAAAAGATGACGGTTCACGCAGATAGCTCAAAATGCGTATAGATAACACGCCACTTGACTTGAAAGTGGCGTGTATGTTTACGCAAAAGTCATGATGTCATGTTGCACACAGGGACGCATGAGGAAACCCGGCAGCTGATCCACTTTCGGGATGAAAACGAGCCGAAGTTTCTAAGATCAAAATATGCAGCAAAGCAACTGTGGGAGTGAGTCATGCGTTCATGTTGTAGCCATTCATTATTGTATTGGTATTGTATTATTGTAATCATTAAAAAACATACATCTTCAATCTCAATGCAAGGCAATGAATGCATACTGTATAAGTTGAATAAGTGAGTGATGTAAAATTGAGGCTACTGATGCTAAACTTTTTTAGTTTTTGTGTTTTTTTATGTTTACTTTATATATTCTGTAATAAAATATATTTTTATCTAATGTATTTATGATGATGACGTAACCAAGTGGTGTCTCATTTCATAGGGGTATGTTTTCACCCCTAGCGCTTACCACTCGGTTTCGAGGGACAAGGGCTGGGGTAAGACGAAGGTGGAGGGGAGGGGAAGGGGTAAGAGAGAATTGGGATTCAGCCATAGTGGTTGTCTTCTGTAGGGTTAGGGTTATGGTAAAAAAAAAAAAAAAAAAGTAGTAATGTTTTGCTCAGAAAAATATAAAACTAAACAGGACACATTCTAATGTAGAGGAAAAAAGTTAAAGCTGTATTACACATTTATTTTTATGCTCAAGTTGAAACCCCCTTTTCGCCTTTGACCCTACTGCATTTTATGTATCAACAGTTATAATACATAGTAATTTACATAAATATTATAAACAATCAACTTGTATAAAAAACAAATGCCTGCCAACGACCTGGGGCCTCATTTATAAACGTTGCGTACGCACAAAAGAAGGCGTACGCCACTCACTACACAATAATTGATATTTATAAAAAGCAAACTTGACGGGAAAATGTGCGGTCCTTCACGCAAGCTCTGACCCAGGCGTACGCACAAAAACGGGTGAAATGAGAAATGGCGACACCGTCGGCAGATGGAAGAAACACGTGAAAGTGTGTGAAACTGTGGACCGTTGTGTAAAATAAATGGCAATAGGCCTACTGCCTCTCATAAATAACACGAAGACTTCACAAAGCAAGTCTCAGCCTACAATTAACAGCCTACACGAACACCCGTTTGATCGATCTGCAACAGAAATGCAAATTAACACATATTTGCAAAAAGAAAAGTGAAATATGTTCTGCAATAATATTGGCATGTTATACAATTCATCCTCATAAATAAGATGGTAAACAGAACGAAATAATGTACAAAACTGATATTCTCGCCAATGTGTCCGTCAGGCGGAGCAGATATAGGTGCAATTAGATAGATAGTCAGATAGATAGATAGATAGTCAGATAGATAGATAGATAGTCAGATAGATAGATAGATAGATAGTCAGATAGATAGATAGATAGATAGTCAGATAGATAGATAGATAGATAGTCAGATAGATAGATAGATAGATAGTCAGATAGATAGATAGATAGATAGTCAGATAGATAGATAGATAGATAGATAGTCAGATAGATAGATAGATAGATAGATAGTCAGATAGATAGACAGATAGATAGATAGTCAGATAGATAGATAGTCAGATAGATAGATAGTCAGATAGATAGATAGTCAGATAGATAGATAGTCAGATAGATAGATAGTCAGATAGATAGATAGTCAGATAGATAGATAGTCAGATAGATAGATAGTCAGATAGATAGATAGTCAGATAGTCAGATAGATAGATAGTCAGATAGATAGATAGTCAGATAGATAGATAGTCAGATAGATAGATAGTCAGATAGATAGATAGTCAGATAGATAGATAGTCAGATAGATAGATAGTCAGATAGATAGATAGTCAGATAGATGTATTATTTGTCCACTGGGGAAAGTTGTTTTCATAGTAAAAATGTCTTCATCAGCTACGGAATCATGGTATTCATGCATATGCCTTTAGTTTGTTTTATTTTTGATAAAATAACGTATGACGTAGACCTATGTCTCAATCATTCAGAAAGCTGCAAGAAATTACATTTGCGCTGAACTATTTCCCATTTCCAAGTAGATTATAACCGACATCTGTAGCTTGTCATTTCGGCCACAGTCCGAGGTTGTGAGGCTACAGCATACGGCGTCTGCAACCTTTTGCCACTCAAGTGCCTTTTTGGCATTATAGGCTAATGCCCACACTGTGCCCTCCAAAAAACATTTTTCTCCTCTTTTCCACCTCGCCAACGATAACTTCTACTTCACATTGCGTGAAGTTACGTTTTTTTGATTTCCTCTCTATGTTTGCCATGATTTCGCAATCGATGAATATTAACTTATGGGCGTTTCACGGACTATTTATGGGCAACTATGGGCGTGACACGAAGCCGCAAAAGCTGCGCTACATTTAGAATTGATTGTGATTTATTAAGGGAAAAATGCGTAGGATGTGCGTGCGCACGGTTTTATAAATCCGAATATTTCTGTGCGTACGCACATCCTATGTTTCATCCGTACGCCACTTCTGACGCAAATCCTACGCAAAGTTTTATAAATGAGGCCCCTGGTGATTGTTGTTACACTTTACAGTAGATCAAATCCTTGTTTGGTCAAACAACATTTAAATCAAATGTCCACTTAATCTTTACTAGTCTAATATTTGGCCACTTCTTTATGATAGAAATGCTACAGCCACTGTAAATTATTGATCTAAGTCGAAGACATGTGGGCATCAAAATAAATTCGATGTGTTTGTGTAAGAAAGCAAATTCAGAGCAAGGGTTAAAACTTATTTTGAAATCGCTATGAACAACAGTTAGCATATTTAGAAAAAATTTTAATACATAGTGCAGCATTAGAAAACAGTTTAATTATGCGGTTCTTGGATTCTCGTCTGTGGAAAGGGCCGCTTCCTGTTATTTTGCCAGTTAATCGACAGTTCGACACGGTAATATGCGGTCGAGGATTGAAAATCGAACACTAGAATTTAATCGAGGAATCGTGACAGCCCTACAATTATACTGAATGACAGCTCTACTTTCAGAGTATGGATTATCATTGGTTTAGAAATTTCATTGGTCCATGAACCCATGGATCATGCGGATTCACCGAGATCGCCCTCCCAGCGGCAAGCCATTGAACAAGTCTCTATGGTTTTTACCTGATCTCTGATCAGTTTTATACATGTGTAGACATTTTAATGGGCCATTTGTATAATTAAAAGGAATAGGCTAATAGTAGTTAATTTAGTCTCTTACTGGGCTGTTTAGCTGAGAAACAAAACAAGCATTGGAAATTGATAAAAGAACATCATAGTTAATGATATTAGTTAATTGCATTTAATAGATTGGCTACTTTCATTAAAACATTTACAATGGTTTGTAAAAGCTTGTTTGTGCATGTTTGGCATTTCCACTGTTTTGACCAGCAGTGGCGTTGCAAACGCTACGAAAATTTCAGTGAATCATTTTGGCAGCAAAATAGGTTCAATCGAGTTTAATTCGTTTCTCCCATCACCAATTCCCATATGCAATAAAAGAAAGAACAATATAAAGCACGCACTGTAAAAGATTGTGCTCATGCTGATAAAATATAGCTTTTCAGTTTAATCAGCTCGACGAGAAATACTGTCACGTTTTAATATTGCGTCACACCCCTAATTCAAATTAATTAACAATTTTTAAATAGACTGCATCTTATTTTGTTTAGTTGTGGATTCAGAATCTTAGGAGAAGTTTATATTTAAGAAAAAGATGATTCACAATTTATCCAGATTCGTGCAGCTCAAAAATATAATACAGCCCATAACACAAAATATATCAAATGTTACCCCCTTATCCTGGTGATGACCCATACAGTGAAATAAGCATTTGCTGTGGACCAGATTTAAAAAAATATATATATAAATCCTGAACTATGCAGGTCTTAAAAGTACAACAAGGGGAAGCCAAAGAGTGTGGACCTGCCATACAACTACGACTAAATTAGCTAACTTATATGACTTAAAATGATTAATTTAGCTGCATGCCTTTATCCAGCTAACGTTAGAGATATTGGGCCTTATTCAATCATGCCTTCAGGGTTTGAACCACGTTGGTTAATTCGACCGCGTACTTGAAACAAACGATGAATTTGTCTATAAAAACTTACCAAACATGAATTTCTCCCCATCGTATACGTGGATGCCACGACTGACTGATTTAACAGCGCTTATAGTCAACTGAACTGATGAGAAGAAGTTCACAAACGCGATTAAAAAACGCCACTGGGTGTTTTAACGAATCAATGACGTCTACGTCGATTAAGAGCGCGAAAAAAAAATAAGACCGCGCGTCACGTGGATAACGCGTGATTTGAACGTTGCTGGAGAACAAAAAATAATGTCTTCTTATCTACTTAGACGAGGATCTTAAACTTGCTAAAACCATTTTTTACAGTCTGAAACAAGTCTTTTATTTATTTATTTATTTATTTATTATTTACTTTAATTTTTATTTAATTTTATTTGTATTTTGTACTGTGTATCTTCTTGCTGCTTCCAACACCCAGCTGTCTGGTGTTGAGTGGGTCGAATTATCAGCTAATAAGGGTAAATTTACATATTTTGACACATTGGAGGGTACTGTTTCCACAGTACCTTGACACGCTGTAGCGATTTCTGATGGAATCACGTCCTCATGTTCTGATATCAAAGATACGCCTTTGCAATATTTCGCATTTATATTTTTTGTACATATTTTATATTTTTCACATGATTTTATAACATTTTATTGATTGGTTTGTTAAATACACGCACTATTGCTATGTTAGTATTGTGTTTAATACAGTAT